CGGTGTTATCCTGTGCATCTCAGAAGAGCAGATTTGTGATGGGATATTCCAATGTAGCGACGACAGTGACGAGTTTACGTGTGGTATGTATTTTACACGTGTCCGATTTTGTACAGATTACACAAACATGTGTAATTTTTGGAAAGACAGGTTAGGTTCTTAGTGGAGCGCTGGTTCACATTTTTTACACAAATTGTCCGTTGTGTATGTGTTAAAATTGTCATCATATATATATATATATATATATATATATATATATATATATATATATATATATATATATATATATATATATATATATATATATATATATATATAAATGAAATATTGTAGCGTTAGGGAATGTTAGAACGGTCGCGCGTATTGTTGACGTTGTGGTACATGATGTGAAACAAAAACATATCGATTCGCACTGTAAAAGTTTGGATAAATGACAGAAATTAACTAAAAGCCGAAATAAATGAAACATCAGTAGATCGAAACATTTGATAGAACCTGTATACGGAATGTTAATACTGTTGCCATGAATTGTACACTGATTATTTTTTTCGCTTTAATTAAATTTAAATTCTCTTTTTTGTCAATAATTAAATTTATATTAAATTTAAACTCTCTACCAATAAACTGAAATATTATTAGTTCTGTCTATATGCATAAAGGGAGGATTATTAGATTTGGGTTCATTTATTTACCTTTGCATTTGTGGTACTTTTAGTTTAGCGACTTTTCATTGCTCTTTTCCCCACGATTTTATGATTTTTTCGTAAAATCGTGCAAAACCGATGATGAAAATGGACACAAAAAGGAGCTATGATCTCATTGCTAGAGTATTATAAGTAGTATCTTGTCATTTCGTTCGTTCGCAGATTATTCGGAAGATTATGGCGACGCTGGCGGTCAATGTCAAGTACCAAACCAATCTAAAATAGGAACCGGAGGTATGGCGGTCTTACAGTCTCAGATGCTTGAAGCGCACAATTACTTCAGATGTCTTCATGGTGCTGTTGCTATGACAACATCACAAACTGCAATTGACGATGCTATAATAGCTGCTGCAAACTGCACCGCCGCTGGAACATTGATTCACTCATATCCAGGAGAGAATCTCGCTTCGATGTCGAGTGAGATTTCAGAAGCTACAGGTATTTTTTTATTAACTTGAGCTCTTGACATTTAACACGGAATATTTCCGCATTGGGCAAATAGATATGTTGTTTTTGTCGCATGATATATATGTTCGAATACTTTGTGAAAGTAATATTTACAAAATTAATGTTAACAAATGATCACGTGACTCAATTTTAGGGTATGGTCTAACTAAACTGTGGTATGATGAGATTGCAGACTACAATTACAATGACCCTGATAGCAGTACTGGAGTTATTGGTAAGTAAATTGTATTTATTTTAAAATGTTGGAAGGTAACACATGAAGTGATCTATACAGATGAATGTTATACGACTATACTCAATTGTGTAGAACGTCGTTAAATCTAATTTTATAACTCGTGTCTTGTGTTGTTTAATTGGTTTTATCTGGTATAACCTAATTATTAATTACACTATTGTGATAGGTATATTTGATGGTTAAAAACCTTTCACTTAGGTAACCGGGATTCGGTCGTTTCCACGCTAGGCTGACAAAAACACACACAAGCTTCGTTCATGTTCCCAAACGATTCTCTGCCAAGTCCCTGGTTTTCACCCGAGACAGCATTAAATCACTCTTTATTTCTTGTCACTCCTTAACCAATTACAATCAGTATAAGAGACTCCAAGGCCTTGCCTTCAAACAAACAACCAATCACATGAAAGTTTTACACATCATAATCAATTAATTACTCGTCAAACTATCTAGAAAAAACACTACTATATATTGTCAACACTAACTAATATTGATGGGGGTCTTGCACTAACATTCCACAAAGATACCGCCTTAGTTAGAATCGCAAACAAAATTGGTTTAGATTACAGCTACTGTATTGTATCTTAAAAACTGCAGAGTCATAAGATGTTTTTGGTTGATTTCGACCAGCTCGCCATCTGGTCTTGTCATTAACCTTTATCAGTATATGTCATGGCAACCACTGTCAAACTGACTGAAATATAAATCATGATACTATACTATACAGTGTGCAATTTGCGAGAATTATAATATACTTGCCATTCAGTGGTCTAGTTGTGCAATGACTTATTACACTGCATGTACTTGTGGGAGAATAATCAAATTATCCAACATGACAGTTTGTGACTACTCAGTTTGTTATTTCTAACTTTTTAGGTCACTTCACTCAAGTAGTGTGGGCAGCAAGTACTAATCTTGGATGCGCCTACAACGTGGATACCGTAAACGATAGGGTCTACGTCGCCTGCGAATATGAACCATATGGTAACTACATTGGCCAGTACACCAGTAATGTTAACACACCTATCTAATACAATTAGTCATATGAAAACATCCTCTATGCGATAACGTCGAGTTGCATTGGCTTAATTGTATCACATGACGCAGTCGTAGCCAATAAAAGTACGGAGGAATACGTAGTAGTTTGTTGTCACTTTATTTACTTTTAAGATGCGCGTGCTTGTGTGTTTGTGTGTGTAGTATTTTGTTGGTTGTGGTATCTATAGTAACTAAAATTATTATGAAAATAATGTTTTACTTATGAATTATAATATGACGAGAAATGTAGTGGTTCGATTCGCATGTTACTCCAGTATACTGGAGGGTGTGAGATGAGTCCCGCATATTACTGTGGCACAAATTGAGACGACGAGAATACAATTTTAAAATCAGTTAAAACAAATTAACAATTTGTGGATGAACCCTTTGTGCTGTCCGACCATCACAACATGGTTTTTAAACTCATATTTCTTGCAATTTGTCTGGTGTGCCAATCCACAAGATTAGTATGCATACATATTACAATGAGAGTTTGCTCGCACAGGTATTTCAGTATCCAGTTTTATTTGCCAGTATTTGAAAAGATATTTCTGAGATAATTGTAGTGACGCTTAAGTGGTAAACCTTTAGAAAACCAACTTTCTTTTGCACGAATGTAACCATTGCCTGAAAACCATAACTTTCGTCCTATTTTTACCTTGACGTATGAAAAAAGTATATTAGAGAAAATATTTCTGTGTCGTGTCGTTAATAATTGTATTTTGTGCACATACTTACTAATTC